AATACACTGAAAGTATTTGAAAGCTGCTCGACAAAGCTACCCGCGATGACCGCGAAAACACGATTCGCTTCGACAGTGGTTTGCGATTGGACGAAACGCTTTTTTCACGTGTGACAAATCGTTTCGCTTTTCTGATTGGCTAAAAAAAGTCGCGAACTTGTTTTTCACACAGGGAAATTTGATAAGAAAATCTCAGTATGTATAAAATAAACTCTTCGCTCTGATAGTGACCCTGGTACTTTTCGCTTTTCGCGTAAACGTACACTTGTCCTTTTATTTCTTCACGTACCTCTGTTAAAGGCCCCAAATCGACTTTTAGTGTTACTGATCATTTTGATTGTACTTCTTCTAATGTAATTTACTGTATTCAATGTTCTCTTTGCAATTCATTATATATCGGCGAAACTGGCCGACGTTTAGGGGACCGTTTTAGAGATCACCTTTACGACATTCGTAAACAAGATCTTTCTAAACCAGTTTCCCGCCACTTTAATTCCGCGAATCATTCAGAATCTAACAGAATCTGGTTTAAGTTTATTACACGGCAGTAATAATTCCAGCAAAACTTTAGAAATGCGGCTTATTCACTCACTTGGCACTGTCAGTCCCCATGGGATGAATGAACGCTTCACTTTTAATTAGTCCTGCTTCGCTTTCCATTTTTCACTTATTGTTTTTTCGATCCTTTTGTTTCCTTTTGTCTCTTCATATGCTTATTTCTCATTGGTCACCTTCATTTTCCACCTTAGAATTTATTCGCCCCTTCTCATCTTTTCTTTCCACTTACTCCGACGAAGGACTAACGTTTGAAACGTCAGTTTCACAAAGCTTTTTACGGCAATCCAATTTATCGACAAGTTCCTACTGTATAACAGATCGTTGAGCTTTACTTCACCTTTCTTTATTTTTTATTTTTTACCATATACCTGTAATTAACTGTCCAGGGCGCGGTTGTCAGAAGCCTGGATAGCGCTATATCCGGCGAATAAATCCTTATCCAGTGGATAAGTCGATGCTGTTTTCCAATAAATTTATCCACTGGATAAGATTTGTTCGTCGGATAGCGCTATCCAGGCTAAGCACAACCGGGCTCAGATACATATAAATAACTGAAACAAGAAGGCCCTGATATCCACATACACAAAAATCGGGCCTGAGAATTTATGAAAACTTACCAGTAGTTTTCCATGAGGTGTGCAGTTACCGCCTTGTTCTTTGGCTGCTTTAGCCTGAGACATTACTGCCTTGGTTGGCCTTGTTATATCTCGACAATGACATCCTTCAACGTGACATGAGCAACGAGTAACTTCTTTGATTTGAGCAATTACATTCGAGTTTGTTTCTTTGGCGGGACCTCCTTTAGAGGGCCTTTCCTTGGGAGGTGTGTCAGGTATTTCCATCACAGGTTCTTTTACTTCGAGACCATTCTGAATAATGACCCCGAAAGAGTTGAGCAATTTACTGTTCTTATTATTCTGTGAAGATGTTTTTTCTTCATCAGGTGGCATTTTTGCTTCTTGAGCATCTATTTCCGGCTTGGGCACTTCTGCTTTCGAAATGTCCAAAATAGGATCTTCCGGATTGGGTATTTCCGGGTTCTCGAGATTTTTATTTTGAAATTTTCCTTGTATTAAAAGTTGAGTGGGCTTCTCAAGAACTTCATCACTGAATGAAACGGTCTTTTTAACGCTGGCAATGACTTCCGGCGAAAGGCAGCGTACATCTCCTTGGGAGAAAGACTTCCTTAAGGAAGATTTCTTAGGATTACGAGAGAGTGGACGGCGAGGTATTTTTTGGTCATGTTTCGATGGCTCATTTCCTTCTTGTAGTCCTTCTCTAGAATTCAATATCACATTTGAGTGTCGTTTTTGTACTTTTGGCTTTTTGGCAGATTTTGGTCGAGGTGGTTTACCAATAACCTTAAATAAGATAAAGAGTATTGTGAAATAGACGTGCAAGACATTAATTATTCTGGAATACACACATTGCCGGTTAGTTTGCACGGCCTGCAAGTATTTTCGGTTACCGCTGTTAGTCTAAGATGTCGACAGTATGTAGTAACCAGGGACATGGGGCCTGAGGAAGAGGGCGGGCCCCACTCTTGGACTGGTGATATGTTTATGGGAGAGAAGTGGAACGAGGTGTCATTTTGTTGAGAGAGACCACAAATGGAAATAAGGAATGCAACACTTTACATACGATAATTTCCCGGCTTATAAAGGGTGCCTCCGGCCTACCTTTGTAAATGCATATATATATATAAGGTATGTATTACTTATCCTTATCCTCATCATGCTGTCGTTGTTATTGTTACAGTGTGATAACTTTAAATATTATCTTATAACTCTACAATTATTTTACCTCGTTTGCCTTGCCGCTACAAATATTCTCATTCCCCGGTTCAGCTGAAGAGAACGCATTGCGTTGTTCACTCAGTCTCCGATTGACAGCTAAATCCCTAACGTCAAAAAACTCAAATGTTTTCCCCTTCAGTACAAAGCCATCCTCTTCCTTCCGCCTCGTGGTCTTAGCAGACTGTACTCGTCTCTTAGGGCTTTGAAACCGTTCGAGTCCTAAATGTAGGTTACGTTCCATGACTTCATTTCGTGTCCTTGGAACATAGGGTTCTTCTACCCACATGTCTTCAGAAACACCTCCATCGAGATGCTGATCCTCTAAAACGTTATCAATGCCTATGTTCACCACACTTAACCCAGTGTTCTCCTCTCGGTGAGTAGCTTGTTGAGCTGTGTTTGGTGTGCTAAGAACACTTCTCAAGTCAATGTTATCGACTTTAACTTTATCGTTGAACATTTCAGAGAACATTTCTGACAGTTCTTCAGTCTCTTCTTTCTGCTTGGCAGCCAATTCATCGAGAAATATTCCGCTTTTTTCGACATAGTCTGCTGAGAGGGCTCTGTCGTTTGATGAGGCATTCAAGGGCGTGTTTCTAAATGATTCTTCATCATCGGTGCCATACTCAATATCGGCCGTAGGAATCTGAAATACGAAGGATTTCGATCCAGTTGATGACAATGAGGACATTTCTCCTGACTGGCATACTGCTTTCAAGTCCTCGTCTTCCTCCTCATCACTATAATCATAGAATTCATATTCTAATGATCCGTCTTGTAATAAATGTTCATCTTTTGGAGGACTAAAATCAATAGGAGATCCGGGTACTTCTGGTGACCCTCGTGGGGGTTTGGGTAAGGCACTTGCATCCGTGTCATCCTGACCATATGCAGAATATTTCCTCAATCCTTCCAGGGTTGCTTTTTGTGTCTCTTCCACAAGATGAGGGTCCAAGTGTAGAAGACATGCCCCTAAAACAAAACAAAAAAAACACCATACATAAATAATAACAGTTTTTTACAGGCCCACTGAAAACGGCTACCACAAGTGTTCCAAATAGCTAATGCTCAAAAACAACACAAAAACAAACAAAGAAACAAAGAAACAAAACAACGACAGCAACTTCACTTGACGTCATTTCCTATTTCGTGTGAAATGTCCATCACCTGAATCGCAAGTTTTCAATAAAATTCTTTTTGGCTAACAGCACAAAAAGAATCAGATTGAAATCCAGCATTGAAAACCAATACGTTATCGATGTTGTACAGTGAATCACTTTGCAATTTCACAAGTAACCAGGCTAAGACATTTTCAGGAAAGAAAAAGTAGTGAGAACCCCGGCGGCAGCAAATCTCCAAAGTAAAAAGAGCGGTCATCGTCCAGAAGGTCTACTGTTACAATTTGCGCCGTAATAGCAGTCCGTCAAGTCCCCCGAAATAATCATCTTAAAGCGCATTGAGATTATGAAATGCGCTCTATAAAGAATGGCAATAATTATTACTGTTGTAACATACCTTTGTATATCTGTTGACTTGCAGACTGTGAAGAACTACTTTGACGAAGTTGGGGGCTTACATTTTGACCTTTAACTACAGATAGTAAATTAGATACAACAGTGTCATGTCACTCCTGTAAGGAGCTTTAGTATATTTTTACAAAAGTGAATATAATAAATCCGGCGCGTTCGTGGGTCACAATTTACGCCTTATCTGCCATATAATCACCTACAGGCAGGTGAATATAACGCGCGCACGCTATATTTAGATTACAATTATCATTTAATAAAATTTTTGTCATGACTCATTATTTTGAAATTTTCTTCCTTTTTCGTGAATCTTTCACTTAACAGGTTCAATGTAACATACTGTAACACTTCACTTTTATATTCTTAAAATATTAAGTAATGTAAAACACCAATACATGTTTTAAAATATTATGGAAATAATAAAATTGGGCAACATTTTGTTTCAAGAAAATACTACACACCAAGTGATTTTGGCCATTCCCAAAATCCCAGCAATTCCCCTTTCCCCCTCCATAAAAAAGGGATATTTAGCAATTATTCGAGCAATTATTCGAGTCTTCGAGCGAAGAGGTAAATATTCTCCATATTCACTGAGCCTAAGGCGAATAATTAACTTATTTTTATATACAATAATTCAATAAAAACAAACAAACATAAACTTGCAGTTTGCGTGACAAATTCATGCAAAACTTTTAGCAAAACGTTTAGGCCATACTTCGTTGCCTTTTTAGAATTGATAGGAATGGCATTTACTTTCATTTTTTCAATTTCCTCGTCGGAAATTGTTGCAAAACGATTGCCGGCAGATGCCACTTTATGGTTGATGCAATATTCCGAGATTCAGAGGTGAATATCGTACAAAATTCACCTCCAATTAACCAATGAGCGAGCGTGTTCTTAGGAAGTACACAAGTTGGTATATATGCTAATATATATTAAATAGTCCAACTTACTGGCTATAAAGTTCTTTACAGGGTGACCTTGCTGTTGTTTTTCCTGTGTAGGGACCTCAGGGGTGTCTTCAGCACAACAAACTATTGCAGAATAAGGTATTTTCTTCTGCTTAGGCCGGTGTCTAGCCTGAGTGTACCTTTGCTTTGGCTTCTTGTCATTTTGGTGCCTTACTAGTTCTGGGACAGACATTTCTATGTTGCTATAAACAATAAAACTATTGTTTAGTAAATAAATGTGAATTGGTGTTTTTGACTCAAATAGGTGCCTCCCCCTGGGACTTTCGACTCGTAACCAATCTTTCGTAACCAATCTTCTTCAGCCAATCGACACGGACAGACAGACGGACAGTGAACAAGGGAAATAGAGGGACTGCTCACAGTCTACCTGTATTATAATTATAAAACATCATTTTCTTAAGGATTTATAGAAAGAGTGTTTAAATTTACAAATGATGACAAATAAACTCAAATGTCTTGTACATGCAAAACATTAGCATATTGGAAACTTATAAACTTTTATATCTCCAAGATGCATCAATCAAATCAAATAAAGATATTTTTATTACTATGCAACTATTTACTTCATGTAGAATCATGGATACTGGAAACATTGAGTTTGGGGTAAGGTACACTTTAAGCAAGTCAGTAGTCACGGGTATATAGTTACTCAAAACTGGAAAAAGTGAGAGAGGAAAGACTTACCTGGCTGTTTCTTGACTTTCTTGGGAAATTTTTGGAGGATCTGGGTCCATATTGACAAAGCTGCTAGAATGCTTACTCCTGTAATTACACTGACAATCAACTTCTCTTTCTTTTGGACCACCTCCCAGCCTGTAGAAAGTCTTTTTGACATTGTGAAGTCTTGATAATGATTTATCTGTATGTAGTAACCATGCCTATAAAGTATTAAGACTATTAGTATAGGAAATCGCAAGATCTCGAGTACAATTTGGAAATTAATAGACACTAGTAATGTTTTGAAAGTTCTTGTAATTGCACAAGCCTTTAGGGGAAGAGTGTCTATTAATTCCAAATTGTACGAGAAGATCGTGTGATTTTTTGTTTATAGTTTACTCAACAAAATTTCAGTAAAAAATGCGAAGCGACGCCGCTCATCTTTGTCTATTTGGCGGCTGATTTTCAGTCCATCGCGCAATTACTGAAATGCATAAAAAAGATTAGTTCTTATGGCTTTAAAATTTTATTTTTTTGTTATTTTAAGTACAAAATGATAGAAAATAATTGTTTTGACATTGTTTTGGCCATGTTGCCATAGCACTTAATTCGGTACTCCTACGGAGTACAATTAACGCTATAATTGTACTCCTCTCGACCAATCAGAGTCGAGTAATTTTGTTGAGTGTACTATAAGTGTTCTAATTACTTCAGATGTCAGGGAACTGCGAAATTGAGACAAATAACACACCACGGTAATGCCACCAAACATCTATGATTCCACATGAAAACATTAAACTTGTAGTCTTCATTCCTTTTTTCACGTGTCAGTATCCTTTGATAATTTTCTTTCCCACAAATTATCGAAAATGATCAAGAAAGGATACCGTCACATGGTGAAAGGAATGCAAGACTAAAAGTTTGATGTTTTTGTGCGGAAATCATAGACGTTTTGAGGCGTGTGTGTTTTTTTTGTCTCGGTTCGGCAGTTTGTGGCATCCCTTGTACTTATTGACCTTTAGGTAATGCATTATTCTTATCGACTATGGCTTCTACAAATATCAGATTTTGGGATTTTTTGTTACACCAGTAAAGTATTAACCAATTATGATAGACTATTGCAAAATTGATTGACTGCCACCCATATAGCTTAGTTGGTAGGAGCACCAATTTGATGTGCAGAAGGTCATGGTTTGAGTCCCTGACCAACACTCAGGGTTTTTTAAATAACTCAAGATGAGGTGCTGCCTTAATTGTAATTATGCAAATGACTATACCTTCATGTGGCTGAGCTGAAGTGGCGGATCCAGTGGAATTCCGTTTCTTAAACTGTGTATAATTCTCTTTTGTTTAGGCAATGTTTGACAAAAAAACTGGCTCTAATCACCTAATTTAATATCTAGTAACGGAACTTAAAGGTAAATTAAACATTATAACAGCAAATATCTAACATTTCGTGTTCAACATTATCTTTGTGAATACTTTTAAGCAAAATTTATATAAGACATATTTCTATTACCTAAAAGATCAAACCTTCAATGGGTGTTCCGTGGACCCCTTCGACCCCCCCTGGATCTGCCACTGCTGAAGAACAGTTAATGGCAGTCTCATCTCTAATCAACTAGAGACGTTACAAGAGGACAACAAGTTATTCAGTAGAATGACTGTCAAGTGTTATTCTCTATAGACAAAGTTGATTTATTTTTTTAATGGACAGAAGTCAAGATATGAGAAATTATGCTGTATCAGGAGATCTGCATTGCACAAAGATGAAGGAACGTGTTTTGTATTTCATTTGGCCTAATTACATGGAAGCTAGAATCAGGGCTCGAAATAGCAGCCTAGCTGCCAATGGCCACATGACAGGCCAAATTTCAGGTTTGGCAGGCGAAAATAAGGATGCACTGCCAAATGAATAATAAAATGACATGCAAAATTTACTGGAATGACCTCCTTTTACCATGCTCCTTTACTTTGGCAGGCTGAAAAAAAAWTCTATTTCAAGCCCTGAGAATAAATAGCAATTTACCAAGATCATTTTTGTAGGAGTACTAAAAGCCAATGCATAGCATGCATGTACACTATAACTGCAGTGAAAAAGTACTATACTAACAGGGGCGGATCCAGGAATTTGTTCAGAAAGGGGTGCAGTGCGCACATATAGTTAACCCAGGGAGGGATGCACCCCTTAGAATCAAAGGGGGAAAATATTATTTTGTATTGGTTGAATCTTTGAAGTAGGGGCACAAAGTCGAACCAGGGAGGGGTGCGTACCCCCCCCCCCTTCCCGGATATCACTAAATAATTTTATATAAGCAACTATAATAAATTGCATTTTTTTTCAAATTCTCTTTCCTGTCAAATTAAAGATTAATTTGGATCCTTTCTACTGGCATTCTTTCGAGGGAAAACTATGTCTTGTGGAATCAATCTAGTATAATTTGGGATGATATAATTAATCTGCAATAGGACTACGTCTGTCCAATTTGGAAATAATTGAATTCAAAATATTCCTCTGACTGCGAAATTGAACTCGGCCAATTGGCCTCTTCCAATTTGGTCAGTCGGAATTTTTTTCATTAACTATTTCCAAATTGGACAGCATGTAGTCCTATTAACTTTTAAATACTAACAATAGATATCTCACTATTTTGCATTTTGTCTATTTAATTTAATGGCGCAAAATAATTGTAGTGCTGTTTTGTTGATTAAAAAATTTTCTTGTTTTGAAGGCACATAAGAAATCACCTTTTTCTTGAAGGGAATTCGTTTGCATCAATCGTTTTTATGTCAACCTCATTTTATTAACTTGAATTCTCAAATAAATTAACTTACGTTTTGGATTCAAGTGGCCTTTTAAAAACAGTTTATTTAATTTTGGAAAAAAGTGAGTTAACTAGACTATGAGACCAAAATTGGGCGATTTTTTGTTAAAATTTACTCTACTTAAAGCTTATAATGTCAGCTTGGTTACAGCAAAATGCCAACTGCTGTTGAACAGAAAAGGTTACTTTCTGTCGAATAAACGTTCAATATTCCAATACGATTAAAGGCTTGAATATTTTGCAAGAACATAAGTAAAGTTACAGCAGCAGCAGAAAATTAAGCTTACTTTAAAAGAGCAGCCAAAAATGGAAAAGTCAAGCTGTATTATAAACTTACCTTTGATGTTTTTGGAGGCTCCTCGTCTTTAATTGCATTTTCTTCCATAATAAAAAAAATAAATTTGAGCTTTTCAGTTTTGGTTGCTACTTGGTTTAATTGTCGCTTCCATGGTTGGGTTTACGAAGGTTTTATGACCAGGAAAACCGCAGTCGTTAAGATCGAAAACTTGTAAACAAATATTTTTCGACACACGAAATTTTGAATTCCGACGCCATTTTGTTTAGCAGCCTCGATGTGATGATATACACAGGAAACCCAACAGGGTTATTAGCGAGCAAAAGTCGCGGCTCATAGTCACTGCCAGAAGTTCAAACTTCTGTCACTGCTTATATACAGCGAAAATCGTTGTGATCGCGACCCGCCGCGGCTCAAAACCATGATTGGCCTTTTCCGAGCCATCAATCATCTTATTATCGTTATTATCATTTCTTTTCCCTCTTCTTTCTCTCTCATATTTTGCTTTAGCTATAAATATATATATATGTATATTGCTTTGTACTTGTCTATCTTATTGTTAAATGAGTGTAAATATAACTTATTTTAACATTAAAATGTCAATAAAATACAATAAAATACAACAACAACAACAACAACAAAAATCAATCATGTTGGGTTTATGTTTATTAGTCTACGAACACGATGGCGCAGCGTCGACCATTAACTAATCTTTTTGCGAAAATAGGTAAAAAGCTAAAAACTAGTGTGAGTTGCGTCGGTGTTTCTAATCAAACAGTAATGATAAAAGAGTAAATTTTACACCGTAAAATAATTTACAATTTTTTATCTTTTTGCGAAAATCTAAAATAACTCAAGAATGTTCCAAGCAGTTGCTATGGAAAGTAGTTTTAAAGTTAAGAGAAGGCTGCTCAATAAGCTGAATCTAGGCAAAGACCAGGAAAGGTGAGAAGAAGAGAAGATGTCAACAATAATCAAACAAAATCGAAATTTGCTGGTAACATCCAAAAAATCGATTTCGCTCATATTCAATTATAAAGCTAGACATGTAGCCAAAACAAATCGTGGTATACTTCGTTTTTCGAAATATTGCTTTATTTCCGAGAAAAAATAGAAAAACACAATTGCCAATGACCGGCTCTGAGAGAGCCAAAATACAATCCAACTTTGAGCGCCTCGACTGCCTTTGCAAAAATGTGCATGGGTTTCATTGTTCAAAAACATTTTTAACATTGTTTTGGCTTTAAATCTATGATTTATTTTATTTCCCAATATAAATTTACGTTGGCGGAAATTTTTTGTTACCAAGTTACTTTGGCACTTCATGAAAAATAAAGAACTTTTAAAAAAATTAACAATGTGCTATATAAAATAAAACGTCGATAATTAGAAATTGAGAAGTTGAAAAAATGTTCTAATCGTGAGTAAAAAGATTTTTTGGGGTATTTTGTTCTGTAACGAGTAATGGAGATTTAAAATTTATGGAGAGATTTCGAAGAAAAAGCGGCCGTTCGGTACAATCAAAAGAACTTAAGAGCGGATGTCAGCAAACATCAAACAATTAGTGGCAAGCTTCAAAAAATCGATTTTGCTCATACTTTTAGTATTGTTAGCCTATTATGTCCCAATCATCATGGTGTAGTTTATTTGTGAAAATATATTTTTGCTTT